GCGTGGTGCTTAGTTGCTGGCTGGGGCTAAACCACAACATTGGCCCAATGAAATAATTATAAAATTTCATGCCAGTATTTTTAGGTTAAGTGGACAACACATTTTCAAGCCATCAACTTGTAACTTCTCTTTAATTTTCTTAGTGTTGATCAGGTGGGTGGTAGAGTTTACATGGGTTTAGATATCAAAATGCCAGTCCTACATAACCTATGAATAAATAATCTCTATGTAATAGTATATGGGAGAAATCCCAAGGACTTCTTGGAAGTGTGGGGGCAAGAGAATTTTTAGGTTATGCTATGCTTGCAAAGATTAGGATCAGAATGAAATGATAGGTGCTCTTGGAAACATCATGGTTCATACATCCCTTTTTGGCATGTTTCTGTTCCTGAAATACTGTCATCTAGAGTGAAATTTGGACATTACCTGAATACTGGTCTTTAGTGATCCTTTAGGTCAGTTTGTCAGGACACCACTTAATTTTATCTTTAATTGTATGTCAAAAGCCTTTTGATATTGTGATGTTGTTGACCAGTCTCCCATCAAGGGAGCCTACGGAGGAGAAAAGATAAGAGTGAACTCATGGAAAGCTGGAATGCTGTGAATATTATCTCTGCTGAGACACATTGCCCTTGTGTTGCACGCTCACTTGTGGCGACACTCACTCGTGCTCTCCTCCCCTCTCCTGTTCAGAAGCACTTTGAAGGGTGTTCAGAGGGACTTGGCGATGAGTAGAGAATATGTTCTAACATTTGGTCTGAACACTTGGACCATAGAGAGCAGATGGAACTGGACTGAGGCCAAAGCTTCTTAAATATGGAGCCTAATGCTATTTGAGATGCCATAGGTTATCCAACACCACCCATACAAATTTGTAGATGTAACACTGTATATAGAGAAGATAAGTGCCCTTACGGACTGACACTTCATTAAGGAAAATACTGTAGGGCATCTCCAATGGCACTATGAGCAACAGGAGCAAGCCTTGGATGACTTGCAAGCACAGGAAACAGACAAATGATAGAAAAATATACTCTGCACTTAATGATTACAGAGATAATACCCCAGATTCATACAGGAAGTGCTGATAGTACCTTTTTCATCTTCTGAAATAGCTGGTTAGTAAAGTTTACAGTAGCTACAAAAATAACTTTTCAAAAAGTTCATAATACTTAACAAACCAAAAATATGTCAGGGCTGTGTTCATTTTAGTTTTTACTTTGTGGGGTGCTGTTAGCAGCTGTTGACTTTTGTAGTTATCACGCCAAATTTGGTATTTGTCCTCAGATTCTTTAAGGCTTAAGCTGTGGAATATGATTTTCTAAGGGTGTGATCTAATGTGATGTTGCGTTCACATGCTGTTTCATCTATTACTTGTTTTGGTTGATAGTATTACCAACAGGGGGAGCAGACACATGAGCATCAATGGAAGGTAGCATTCAGATGAATTTAATGTTTTCTTTATGCTTGTTTCTTTCTCAGCTTGCTTTGTTTTTTGAGGGACTGTGTGATTGAGTCATACCTACGTGATCTGTATTTTTTTAAAGAATATGCCACACACAGCCATTTAGAGAAGTTGATTATTTCCACACTATATTGAATTACAAATTACTGTAAAACCATTAGTATATGGAAATTCTATTTATCGCAAGAGACAGAGTGAAGCCTTCCTATGTATTCCAGGTTCCAAAGTGACAAAAATTGAAGCTACAGTGGTGCCCTGTACACAGATTTCCATGTCATTTTTTGATCGGCTATACTCTGAAGGTGTTGTCAGAGAAACTGGAGATATTGTGAAATGTTATGATGACTATTACGATGATATTCTCATCTCTGATGAATTAAGGAAGGTCAGTATAGCAATGAATAATTTCTTATGATTTTTCATACTCTATTAGGTACTGTAAGGACACATTTTTCAGCATTTTTTTTCTGACAATACATACTTTCCATGATAAAAATGGGCATCGATGGCCGTGTGCTAGAAATGACAGAGGCACTCCAGTGCCTCAATGTGTGAAAGCAATGGCTGTTTTCCAGGTGGGCCCTCTTTCCTTTTTAGGTGGGAGAAGAAGGTAAAACCTCCTTCTACCCACCCTTGTCTCAAGTAGTCAGTGCTGGGGGCGGGGCGGGGGGTGTGCAGCTACTCATTTTCTGGCAAGGGGAAAACAAGTGGTGCTAATGGAAAGGTCCCACGATACCCAGAGCTGTTGGGTTCACCCAACCTTTCAGGTAGTTGATGAAATTGAATGTACTCAATAGCTACATCCTGAAGCATTCCTGGCCAGGAATGCTGACCATATCATGTGTGAAGGCATTTAAGGAAAGGCATCTTCATGTATTTTCACTGAAACAAAGGAAAGTGTGAAAAGGGAAATTATTTTTCAGTGTAACACTGGGAAAGGACTAAGTATAACTCCTGAACAGGCCTGCAGGGTAAAAACTGTTTTTCATACTCCAGTGGAGGTGTTAGAGAGCAGATTATTCTGAAAAAGAATCTCTCTAACAGTGGCATCTTCTTAATCAACATATGTCTTCACTGTAAGTGTTTCTTTTGACTTCATAAGCTAAAACCATTTTTTTTACTATGTTTGTTTAGCATTAGCAAAGCATAGTGTGGAAGAACTGGATTTTGCTCTTCCTTGTATATATAATCATCATGAGTACTTAATAATTATAGAGTTGCACTCATTTGCACTTGGCAAATCCTTTGAAGGCAATGTATTTGAACCAGTGACACTGGTTACAGGATGTGGCCTGAAATACTGGTCTGTCTTGTAAAGTTCTGGGAAAAGGAGAGAACTCCAGCTCATGTTTGAATTTCAGATGTGGTTTGTAGCCTAGCAGTTCAAAATACTATGTATTTATTTGTAAGTCAGGTATGTGTGAAGTGTTTTCTGAAAATTAAGTATATTGGATGTGGGAAAGTTAGAGGCAACATTTAAAATAAGGAATCATTGAAGATTCAGTCTCTTTCCATTTTCCTTCCCTTGGAAGAGATGTGTGTGTCTGCAAGTTGCAAGTTGGAGGATTCACATTTGTTTGAAATGAATGTGATTCCTACTCATAAGACCTAAGATGGCAGAAAGAATTAAGAGTCAAAATCTTCCAGGAACGACGTCAAAACTTCAGACTGAATTAGTCAGTGCCCTAGGATGGTAGACTGTAGGGGGCAGCAAACTGTCTATCTCCTGGTGCCAGAGGGTGGCCCTCAGCGGCAAAACTCCGTGTTTCTTTCCTACCTGCCACGTCTTCTCTTTGCTTCAACCAAGAAGGGAGTTGGGATATGTATGAGGTGGCTATCAACAACAGTTGCTGCCCAGGCCCTTTTTTACTCAGGTTGTGTAGTGATGTTATAAAAAGGGCCAGAGAGTGGTAAGCTCATGTCTAGCTTTGACCAGTTTGCCTGAGTTGGCATAGAATCATAGAATCATTTAGGTTGGAAAAGACGTTTAAGATCATCCAGTCCAACCATTAACCTAACACTACCAAGTCCGCCACTAAACCAATTAAGGGTGAAATAGTAATTAATTTCATGTTTCCTGGCTTGGTGGCTGGATTATTTTTTGATGAAAGTAAAAACTAGGAATCATTAAGGTTGGAAAGGACCTCTAAGATCATCAGTCCAACCGTCAACCCAACACCACTGTGCCTACTAAACCATGTCCCAAAGTGCCATGTCTACATCTTTTTTGAACACCTCCAGGGATGGGGACTCCACCACCTCTCTGGGCAGCCTGTTCCAATGCTTGACCACTCTTTCAGTAAAGAATTTTTTCCTAATATCCAATCTAAACCTCCCCTTATGCAACTTGAGGCTATCTTCTCTCATCCACAGCATCTGCAGTTTGGCTGTCTGACTCAAACATCTTGTAGCCATATGGAGTTACAATTCCTGTCCACCCTTACAGTGTGCAGTGTTGGGATTAATCTAGCAAGTCCTCTGTGTTCACATAATATTGCAGCAAAAGGCAGGTGAGACGCATGGAGGCAGCTGGATAGCACGTCTGGTTTATCCAGGCTACAGATAAAGGCTCACTAGAGTCTGCAGTAAAGAATGATGTGAGTTTGAGTGATCTCCTCTGGGAGAGCCTTGGGATTTCTTTACAAATGTGAGATAGCTGTGTAAACTGAAGAGTAAAAAAGCAAATGTAAGCAAAGTTACCAAAGACAAACCTATTGGCAGTGATCAACATACCAAATATAGCTAGATTATTTTCAGATTATTGATTGTTTCATTATCATGATAAGCAATTAACCAGTCAATAACAAGACTCTTGAAAAATCTTCCCTTATGTCTTGTGGGCACACATCTGACAGTGATTCTGCTTTATATTGTATCTATACATTTTGAACACAACTGCATCACTGGAAGAAGGATTTATAGAGAAGTACTTAAGTATTTATTTCCATCCCTAGTTCATATATTTTATATGGATGTAAACTCTGACATACAGCAAAGTAGTTGCATTGTTTATAAACTTAATCTGAAATAAGAAATTTTCATCTATTTGACTTCTTTGTTATTTTCTTGTTCCATAAGGTCTTGCTTCTGGAAGATTCAGACCATTATGACTTATTCAGTCAATTGGATCGCAAGGAATTTCTGTTCTGTCTTTTTAAGCACCTTTGCATTGGAGGAACTCTTTGCCAGTTTGAAGATGTAGTTGGCCCATACTTAGAAACTACAAAAGCTTTATATAAAGACTTGGTGAGGTAAGTGGTTTCTGTTTTTTACAATTGTATATGTATGTGCTGTGCATAGATACTTTGTGTCGATTTCTGTAAATTTATTGTGCATTACTGCTTCAAAAATGGGGCTGTTATTTAATCAATCTGCAACCTTATTTGCCTTCAGCTCTCAAAATACGGTGTAACAATGGTAGTAGTTCAATGGCAAAATATATGCAATTCTAATGGCATCTGTCCCACATAAAACCTTTTTTTATATTACATATTTTTTTTTTTGTCTTACAATTAACATGACACAGTGGGCTAACACACATTTTTTACCAGGTCTGGTGTATGGAATTGTTTGGAATTTTATGTATTTTTTTTCTTGAGATTAGAAGTGCTTGATCAGAGGTTCAAATTCAGAAAAAACAGGTGATTTTTTTCCCCGTTTTGATATATCCATATGCTGACTTCTCCAATTGACAAAATTTCTCATTTCCTGGTTAGTGGGAAATGGATTGTAGTTATCAGTTATGCAAAGACTCATTCCTAGCTAAGCTAATGGGAATATGCAGATCATCAATGTTATTACTAAAATTTTATATTATATTATACTTTGCCACTCATAGTAAGTATTTGTGGGATAGTATAAAGAACAATAACCCGAACAATGGAAAACAACTGCAGACCTCTGAAATGAGAGATAGTATAAGAACTCTGATAATGTGGGTGCTAAATAATGCACTACAATGTACACTACAAAGGCTTCAAATTGCCTAAAGTAGGAATTGATATTTTTCTTCCTTCTCAGTTCTATTTGGAATGGTATGATGACCAATTGTTATTTCATCTCCTATTTTAAGATTATACACAAGCATATTTGGAAAAAAATTGCCTAAGATGTATTTGTCATTAAGTCTGTTCTTAGAATGTCTTTGGATAAACTTAAGAGTGAAATTTATATGTCTGAACAAAGATACAGTGAAAGGATTAGACCCAGTGATTCTTAATCACCTGAATAGTTCCTTACTTCTGTAGCACTTGTGTATAGAGTGCTGTATCCAAACAAAATATTTAAAACAAAATATTTGGCTGGGTTTTGGAATTTTTTGTAATACTTAACCAAAGAAGCTTACAAATCTTTAATAATTTCTAAGCAGCTTTCAGATTTTCTAACGGTCAGTACTTTTCAGGATGCAAGTTGATTTAGTCACGTGCTGTTTCCCAGGGTCATCTAAAATAAATGATTAAAGTAGCAGTAGAACAGCTGATACTTTTAGAGAAACCACTGAAACAGAGAAATTGATCATTATCAATATTCCAAGAAGATTTTTTAGAAATAATGAACTTAGATTGCTGCATGTATTATTTTGAATGCTGTTGTTAGTCACCAGAGCTTTCTTATTAGTGTGATTAGTTTTGATATTTTCATATCATACATAGATAGAAATCAAGTGGGTTCTTCAGAAATACAGAATATGACATAAAAGGATCCATCAGTGCTTCACCTCTACCCTCCCTTTTCTTTTAAATTGTTCACTCTGCACTTGAAACAAGCTGTTTGATACTCTAATCCTTGGCCTTAGTTGCCTCTGCATTGACTACAGCTGTTTCTGCTGTTGTGTTGTTGAACTGACCTAGGACAAAGCGCAAATCCAGTCAGTCCCTTCACTTTATTGCTTCCCAATGCTGTTGAGTTGTTTTCTCCTAAACACCTCCCTTTTCTTTTAAATTGTTCACTCTGCACTTGAAACAAGCTGTTTGATACTCTAATCCTTGGCCTTAGTTGCCTCTGCATTGACTACAGCTGTTTCTGCTGTTGTGTTGTTGAACTGACCTAGGACAAAGCGCAAATCCAGTCAGTCCCTTCACTTTATTGCTTCCCAATGCTGTTGAGTTGTTTTCTCCTAAAACCAAGTTTTAGGAGTTTTTTGTCCAAGTTTTGTTCTAAGCCACTCCTTTTCTTTACCTTCCTATCTCCTTAAACCTTTTCCCCTTCTTTTTCCTTTTCCTGTGTAAAATTTGATAAGGATGTTCTTTAAAAAAAAGTAGTTAAGTAGTTCTTAAAAAAAAAAAAAAAAAAAAAAGTATCTGGCAAAATCTTCCCCACAGTTTCATCCTGTTTTCAAGGTTTGCTTTTTTCTGTACCCTCAACCTGTTCCCTATCAGCCCTTTATATATTTCTGTGATTTTTCTCTAGTGTGCTACTTCTGTCCTTTATACAATATCAGGAGAAAATATTTCAAGATCCTTTCCTCTGTTTTTTGGTGTGTGGGTGTTTGGGGTTTTTTTGTTTGTTTTTTTTTTTTAAACCAGTTGGCAGCTTGCTGTCTATCCTCCAAAGTTTTGAAGCACATCTACTCAGTTTATATGATGTAACTGATCTTCAATATTTATCTACCATGTGTCTCTCCATGTCTGTGCCTGTAAATGTCTGCTGGTTTCTCACTGACAGTGGAGCTGGCATTAACACTGACTAGCAGTTGAAAAAGAAACTCATCATTTAACTAAATATTCTATCTTGCTCCTTTGACATTAAGTTCTCTGTCGGTCCCATGAGAAAAGCTTTTGATCTTGACATTTCAGACTTTCCCTCCCCCTTCACAATCTTTGTTGTCTCCTGCTTTGTCTCATTTCCCCCTGCCTCCAGTTTATCCAAAACGATGTTGCTGTTTTGTTACCACCATCTTAAGAGAGAAAAACAGTGAAAGGGTAAGCAATGCAGCTCTGAAGAGGGACACTCATGCCACAGTCTTGACTTAATTTCTAATTTCTAGTGCATGCTGTGCACTGTGTTACTTAATCCATTTTTTGCACAAATTACACCAGAAAATAAAGCAATGAAAATTACTTCCTTATGGCCTCTTATTTTCAGTAGACAATTGCTAATGAGAGTAGTGGTCTCTTAAATTCTGCTTACCAAACAGTTCACCTTCAAATTCCTGTTGAAAACCAACTACTCTTTAAATTCTTCTTTTCTAGACTGCTATCCTCCGTCTGGCTTCTTTTCATCTTGGATTGCAGTTGCATTAGATACTTTCTACTTTTTGTAAAGTGATATTAAAAACTTTTAATGGTATTAAAAAATTCTGTAAACTGTACTCTTCTTAAGCTTTAATTTTTCTATCTTGAGGGCTCAGAAGGCTTGGTGAAAAACAAATGGATAGTACAATAATTATTAGCTGCTAGCTAATGTGCATTGAAAAATTAGCCTCCACAGATGAACTTAGTCTAATCATGATATGCTTATAGAGTTATAAACCACCACTGTTTGGTCCTGTAACAGTTTTTCTTATGGAAAAGAGCGTTGGTATGAAGAGTTCCACAAAAGTGTCTTTAGTGCTGGGAGTGCAGACCTATCGTGAGCTTTTCCCCCACTTCTCTTTCTTCTGGCCCTTCCTGAGTTCTAACTCCAAGGCACTAGCATTCAAAATAGTGTCAAAAGGTTTGAGTTTTCATTTTATTAAAGCATTTCCATGTGTATTGCTTTATTATTAGAGAATGCAATAATCTTTTGAAATTAACTGCTCTAGGTATTTTACAAACACAAGTAGGAACTTCCAAATACAACTATTAAATGGCAGACATTTTCTCCTTTGTAAAAAGAGTAATCATTACTTCCTAATGAATTAATGCACAACTTGTTGTCTGTTACTAATCCAGCAGTAATTAGCCTGTGACCAGTTGAATCCATCCAAAATTTTAGTGTTGTGTCGTATCTGGTGTAACCTAAATAATTTCAAAACCTCTGTTGTAGTATTTTTGGTTTAGTTAAAGAATATGTTTACATGACAAAAACTTGTTAATTAAAATATAATCTATGAATCTTTGTTGATAAATAGTGTCTTCTGTACTTCATCCCTGATTTTTCTGACAGCGTCTCTCCATGGTGACAGCTGCAGTAGTATCTTGCAGTCATTGTTCTCCTTCCTTCTGTGCCATCTCCATGCCCTTTCCCCCATAGTAAATGAATTTATGTGAAAGTGTTGAGTTGTTCTTTTAATGTTTGGAAAGCCTAATAAAATATTGCCAGTAAGGTTAGGATATAAAGAGAACCCAAAATGAACTGAGAGACGACAAGGAAATTTGTTCTTCATAGAAAGAGAATAGATGCACGTTAAAATGATGAAGGAACTACCATATTCAATGAATAGTTTAGAAGTTAACAATTTGAAAGAACAAATTGGGGTATTAAGACTGTTTTTAAGGAAATAATATCCTCTTGAAGAAGACAAGGTAGTCTTTTCTACAACCTTTTAGGGGAAAAAAAAAAAGAAATAGAGCAAACGAGGTTCTCAAAGGCAACCTCCTGGTTTCTTTCAAGTCAGCAAGGGAAGAATCTCATCTGATTTTGGCAGATATCTTATTTTGCCTTAAAAATTAACCAAAGTACTAGAAAAAAACACTTGGTCTGAAAAATTACTTACGGGAAGCTAACCACAAAGGGAAAATTTCTCAAGGCAGTGGAATAAATAGGAGGACTTAGTCTCTGTCACCCCTTACTTTGGTATCCTATATATATGTATGTATGTATGTATGTATATATAAAAAACATAAAAATTAAGAAACCAGAAGTTGAAAACATTGTTTTCAGACAAAAGAATATGAAGCCAGAGTAACTTAAATACAACTGTAGCTTGTGGGGGTGGTGATATGGTAGAAAGTGCTAACCCCACTAACCCTCTCTATACCTTGTTCTGAAAGCTGTCACTCTCTCAGCAGAGATGGTTAAACAGTTTTTGAACTGCTGCAGTTTACAGCCGGGTACGTTAGCATAAACTGACATCCGTGTTAGTTTATCTTAATATGCTGGTCTGTAAACTGCAGTGGTTCAGAAGCTGAGTCATGAACCAGTTGAGCTGTCCCTGCTGGGAAGGCAGTAATCTCTAGAGGGGTGGTAAGGCAGACAACTGGGGCCAGTACCAGTTTCAGCAACGCTGTCTTAATCCACGGTTGAGTATATCAGTATGTCAGTTGCAACAAAAAATTCTGAGAAAGCCTCGCTACTGACTCACCACAGGAAAGATCAACGGCACAGTATAGGCTTAATTCATACATGTCTGTGTCATTCCTCTACAGATTAAATCAGTTAGACAGTCAATTTCTTTTATTGATTGGAGAGATTGAATCAACAAAGATGATGTTGTTTGATTCAGGGTTGGTTTGTTCTTATAAAAAGAAACTTTGCAAAAGCAATGGTAATAGCGGACTGCTGTCACAGAGCTTGGAGCTGGTACAGCATATGACTGGGCTGTGTTTAACACACATCCTCTAGCAACTTGGCTATATTGGGACCTTTCCCGGGAATTGAACCTGTCTGTGACAAGGCAAGTTTTGAGCTATGCATTTCTTGGAACTGTGTAAGTCTGGAATTTATAAGGCTCAACTGCTCCACAGTGAGCTAACGTAAATAGGAATCTGTGAAATTACATAAATTAATAGAAGCTACATGATCTAATTTATAAAAAAATGTAAGCATCACTTAAAGCAGACCTGAGGAAAAAAGACACATTTAAAAACACTTAAATTTAAAATACATTGAGGTGCCTGGATGCTTTGCAATAATATCTTAGTGTTGTTAGCAATTGTGATGGAAGAAATTGTAGCCTTCACAACAAACACAGTCTAGAAATAAAAAAATTCAGAACTAATACCATCCTAAGTTGCATAGCTGTCTATATATATACAACATTCCAAAGGAGGAAAAATAAACCTAACTTATAATTATATATTAATTAAAAATGAGCTAAAGTCTGCATTTCTTCACCAGTACTGCTGCTACTTCTTATAGTCTCTATTAAGTTGCAGTTCACTTTGCAGGTTTTTTTCTCAAAGATGATGTTTAGCTGAATAGCTTTTCATACCTATCAAAATGCAAACTGTATATTGGAGTCATCTAGGCCTGGGTAATACTGCTGTGATTTAGTAGCTGAAAACAGTGAAACCAACTCAGATGACTAGATATGTTCCGTAGTTTTCAGTAAAATGTCAATATCCAGGTTCTCTAACAATGGTCAACGTACCTTTTCGTGGTCAATGTGACATGAGTTGAATTTTAACTATTAATTTGAACTTGATCAAATTTGAGGAAGAACAAAATGCATATGTTAAAAATGTATTTATTAAACAAAGGAGTCTAATAATCGGTGCTTACTGTACATATTAAGTATGTATTATTCCCCTGTATTTCAGTGTTCAAAAGAATCCTGAAACGAAAGAAATAAGTATTATTTCTACAGTCTTCAGAGTGTCTGCATATGTAAGTAATAATTTTTTGGTACAGGATTTTACTGGAAGTAACATGCATAACATGAAAATAATGAATTGACATTTACACAAAGAAAGCATAATATTCCATTTTAAAGTGTTATTTTTCCATAGTTCTTGTCATTTTTTATTCATGAA